TTCACTGTATATCCTTCTGTTATTTTCACACTTAATTATGCCCATTAAAATGTATTTTAAAAGTTTTTGTTACTTTCAGTGTTCATTTTTCTCTCTCTCTATGGTAGCCTACATCATCTTTAATTTAATAGCATTGGAGCTGCTCCATTGTACTGTAATCACGCGCTTTGCTGTAATAATACAGGGAACCACTCGTTATAAATCTCCTAACTGTGATATTTTCAGAAATAGATGTCGCATTTTTTTCATCTGAAACGTGCTGCGATTTATATTCCAAAGCCACTCATATAATGCAGAAACACTCAAGCAAGCAAAACACACGCAACGCCTGCACGTATTTGTACTAATGCAGAATGAGAGGACAGTAGTACAGCCGAGTGCATTTCACACAGGCTGCTAGATTCACTTTCGCCAGAAAGTCGTGTATGCCTAAGGTTGAAAATAAATGATGTTTATAGTGAATGCCCCTATAAATGGTATTATTTTTACGATTTAGTTTTAATCCAAATGATGCGTGTGCTAAGTGAGTGAACATCAAAGATCACACAACAGAAGTGCGCGCGCTCTCTCTCTCTCTCTCTCCCTACCGTTAAGTAACTTGTGCATTGTTTTACTTACTTGTTTTTGACGTATCCGACCGAACTACAAACTTTCCAGTGATGTCTGTGAAAAAGGTATATTCACTCGACAAGCTCGCGCATCTGCGCCGCCGCGCGCTCAATCCACTCTGCGTGCTTTGTTTATCAGCTCGCGCACATCAGCTATACAGGCGTTAATACTGAATGTTTAACGTTCTATTCACTGCATACATATACTTCGTAGTAGACATCCTTAACTCCATTCTGCTGTCTGTTGTCGGTGTTTCTTTGTCTGAATATGGTGCTTATCACATGCTGTGTGGTATCGGCGTTTGGTATCGGGGCATTTTAACGAGTACGAGTACGAGTACAGGAGCTCAGTATCGGGCCCGATACCGATACCGATACCAGTATCAGTATCGGTGCATCCCTAGCTTAAACACACACACACACGCACGCACGCACATCACATCACATCACACACATATAATTCTAGTATGTAATGTCTGTTTGTCTTAAGAGTTTGATGATATTTTTTGTTACAGTATGAACATGTTCAGAATAGCATAATATCATACTTCTCCTACTAGTATTTAATACGTATACTGTGCAAATCAGGCACATTTTCAGTATGCATTGACATTACATTAGCCAAACTGAACTCAATGTAATATCAAAGGCAGTTTTCAGTTTGTTTTTCTTGACTCATTATTGATTTATTTTAACAAATGTTAAAATATTTGTACATTATATAAAATATTAACTTTTTTATTTTTAAAATTGTTAATTTAATTTTAATAAACAAATGTTCCTATTATAAAATGTTACTAATTTTTTTTTTAGTTCTATCATTAGGCCTATAAGTAAACAGCACTTGCTGAATTCAGATCATGTGTCAGTAATGTAGCATGCTACCATTTGAAATGTGTAGCATTGTATAATGCATACTGTATCACTATTTTTAAATGATAATAAAATAGACATTATAGTGTATACTACATAGTAAGCAGTGTTCAGATTCCATTCTAAACATAGTCAGTGACACTTGTTTGTATAGTAAAAGATAACAATACCTGACTGGCCGGCTCAATGGGCCACATGTGACGCACAGACAAACAACAACTCTAGTGTCTATTTAAGAATATTTCACAATGATTTTAATCTGTAGGGACTGAAATATGCCATTTTCCACTGTACCTTCCCAAGGAGGCCCTATGTAATTCCCTAATTTTTATTCAGGTAAAGCCCTTGTCACAGTCTAAACAATCCTGTTCAGTCCATGTGGAATATTAAACAACATGTAGACTGTTTAGCATTCTGCCTTCGTGTGTGTGTTATTATGCTTGTATGATAAACGTCAAGTCATCCTGTAGGTGTGTGCTGGGAGTATGTCTCAAGACCTGTTTGCCTGTTGGGAATGAGTCTGACTGGTGAGTTTCCAATTAATGCTTTGCATGCCTGAGCTTGTGCACCCCAGTTTGCTGTACTAAAATAACGACAACACTACTTAAATATTATTCGGAGAGACTGACCAGTGACTCTGACGGTGTAGTTGCTTAGCAGCGTGCTGCTGTGGGTGTGTCTACAGGAATACACCCCCGAGTCTTCATAGGAGATGTTGATGATATGGAGCACTTTTTGCCCCACCCGTGTACGGTTGCTAGGAGACACGGCGTCACCATCTTTCTGCCACACGATGGGGACCAGGAAATCGCGCGGTGTGCAGGACAGATCCACAGTGTCCCCGACTCCTGCCACGTAGTCCTCCAGAAACACTTCCACCTCACTCGACACCCAATCTAACAGAGAGAAAACAGAGAGAGATGTATTAATGGAGTAAATTCAATCTGCAGTGAATGAAAGTATTGATAATGAAATTAGATTTATGCAGATATTTCATCCAAAGTGACTTGAAGGTACTTATTGAGCTATATAGTCAGGCTATGTTAAATGTGTCGTGTCACTGCATTCCAAAATTTGTCCGAGCACAATTCAGAACGCAAGAAAAGTTTTCTTTTTCGATTTTACTACTGTCAGGGCATTGCAACAATTTGAAGCCAATTTTAGCAAATTGACATTTCAGGTATAGCTAATTTAATTTACAGGTGTTTGATGGTAACTCATATGCACTCTTGAGATTTGTTTGCATTAAGAATGCATGTTAAAGTTGCGATAAGATGGAAGTTCATGTTTTCTTCAGTATTGTGACATCAGAGTGAAACGGATTATCAAAAAAGAAAAAAAAAGTGATCAGAGAAGTCCAGCATACGTCACCAGAGAGAAGTCTGTCGTTTCATCTGAAGATCAACATTTTGATTAAAAAGGGTCAAACAAAATGTTAAAAATGAAACACATGTATTGACGAATTGTTCACAATAAAATCAATAAGATGAATTTAGAAAATAGGGTGAATTTCCATTTCATGCCAACTTGAAGTATGTTCAATAGTGAACATTAGTGAACACTATTAACTATTAACTAGTTGCTTATTAGCATGCATATTACTAGCATATTGTCTGTTAATAAGTACTAATGAAGAACATATTAATCCCTTATTCTGTATGACCATATTCTAGATTTCTTAACCCTACCTAATACCTAAATCTACTATAACGTCTTTTTACAATCAATAAGCAGCTAATTGGGAGTTCATTGAGGGAAAACTCTTAGTTAATAGTGAATATGTGCTCCCTTATCTAAAGATGGTCAAGCATTTGCATCTGTATTTGGGTAAATGCACAAAGTATGTGTCTGTAAATTCCCAAACCCATGACCTCAGCATTGCTAGTGCCATAATCTACCAGCACGGCAATGGAACCCTGAATTAACATAGTTACTATTGTCATTTGCATCTAGTAGAGTCTGACAGACATAAATAATAATAATAATAATAATAATAAATCACTTACATTTTTACTCAGAGATGGATCTAAAAATCATAGAAAAGCACACCAGGAGAAAATAAACAAATATGTTTATTAACCTCTCCGGTGAGCGGCATGGAGACCCCACTGAGACACAGAAATGCAACATGCTGGAATAAATGTTCCGACAGACTTTCCTTCATTTTCCCTCTCTTTTTTTTCCATCACCTCCATAAAACCTGGTTGTCTTTCTGTAGCATCTCTATCACTCTTTCATTCTCTCTTTTCAAAGTGACATTCATCTCCGGGTAGAGCGGTGACAGACTTACAAAGGATTGATATATTCGATAGGTGTTGTGCTTGCGTGTGTGTGTGTATAAGGTCAGGAGTGTGCTGGCAGACGACTTGCAGACAAGACTAAGCTTGAGTGGAATACATTATTGGGTGTATGAATTATAGATCGCCCACTACATGTGAACGCATACACACGCTCTGTTAAGTGCAAAAAACACAACTCCATCTGAGGCTGTCTGAAGGCCACGTGAAGTGTTAATATCTCTTTGATCACTTCTCATATCAGTTCCTGTGTGTTTCACTCTTGACACCGTCACATCTTCCTCTCCGTCCCCTTTTTCTACCTTTCATCTTGTCTTTCAGTCATTACTGTACCTCTTTCTCCCCCCTCTATACCACTCAAATCCAGAGGCACCACAGTGCTGACATCAGACGGCGGCTCCTTCAATGAATAAATGCCGTTGTGTGTGTGCGTGTCTATTCTATATCCCGTGAAAGAGAGGGAGTGTGTGAGATGTTTATGTGCGTTTGTGTAACATATGCTGGGCCAGTGAAAGACACTAATGTGCGTGGGGGAAGGGGTTATAAATAAATATCATAAATGGCTACTGTGTGTTCCCATATTTCCCAGGAGGTGTGTGGAAAATAGAGCCAGTGTGAGCACTGAGGTTTTACAAGGCTGATATAGAAACCTCTTGAGGACCACAGATCAGGTGAGACTTTTATGAAGACTCACAAACCCCGTTGACACGGTTAGGCTACGCAAGCCTCATTTCATGTGCCACCGTGCTCTGAAATTCATAATGCAGAGTATGTATCTGCTGTCTGCTATGCATTTCCATTCATTTCAATGGCAGTTGCTTGGCTGAAGTATGTGACTGGATATCTGCTGGTTTTGAGCCGTAAATATCATGTGACATCACTCTGGAGCCACGGGATATGACATCATGACAAAACTGATTGGCTAAAGGCAAAAGGCAAAACTAGATTACTAGATTTCAGCAGTGGTCAACCATCCCGGATGTGAACCTGACCTTCGGAAATGTCCTGACCTTCGTGACCACAACCGTCCTCCAAAGCCTGTAATCATACATTCACTCTATAATCAGCTTCATGTATTTTCATAATCACTGTAGATTCAAACACTGTTTTATATTCAGCACACACACACACTTGCATGTATTGAGGACAGTTTCCTTTGATCATGCAGAATAGATGAAAGGTATTTTTTGTGTTTTGCTAGAGTTGTGCAGGGTAATATGTGAGATGTGATTTAAAACCTGCTGCCATGGGCAACACAGCAGTTGCTGGAATATATTTGACTGAAACGAACAGGTTAACACTCTGTGTGTGTTTGTGTCAGAAGGGCATTTTAGCAGTAATCACAAAATAGCAGTTATTACATCTAATTTAAAAGTAGTGTATGTGTGTTTAATATAAAGTGTGTGCATTTGGTTGACTAAATGAAAACGCATCTTAGATGTCTGTTAGCTTTCAATATAATCTTTGTTATATAAGAAAAAAATACAATTATTTACACACTTCTGTTCAAATGTTTGGGGTCGGTATGATTTTTCAATTTTTTTGAAGTCTCCTACACTCACTAAGGCTGCATTTATTTGATCAAAAATAGTAAAAACAGTAATATTGTGAAATATTATTACAATAAAAAAGAATTGTCTTCTATTTTAATACATTTTAAAATGTAATTTATTCCTGTGATGCAAAGCTGAATTTTCAGCATCATTACTTCAGTCTTCAGTGTCACATGATCCTTAAAAAAACTGTCTAATATACTGATTGGCTGCTTAAGAAACATTTCTTATTATTAGCAACATTGAAAACAGTTGTGTTGCTTAATATTTTTCAGGATTCTTTGATGAACAGAAAGTTCAAAAGAACAGTATTTATTTGAAACAGAAATCTTTTGTAACAGTATAAATGACTTTTCATCAGTTTAATGTGTCCTTGCTAAATAAAGGTATTAATATCTTTCAAACCCACAAACTTTTGGACAGTAGTGTATATGTAAGCATTTTGCAATTTTAGAAAAATAAAATGATTTACACACACACACATACAGCTGACAGCATGTGATAAATGTGTGTATGACTAACAGTCTCTGGTTTTACTTGTTTTGGTCGTTGCAACAAAACGACAGGTTAAAACAAGAGAATGAGGGGGGAGTATAGAGAGTGTGCACACACACACACACACACACACACACACACACCAACCTGAGCTGTGCCAGTCTGCTCTTTTGCCATTTCACGCTGCTTTCAGCCGTTTGGCGTGATACACTCAGTCAACATCCCCTACTGTCGTCTGACCTTCAGACTGAACAACACACATTCATGCATACAGTCTCACGCACACTTCTCGCATACAATCTCCTTTCTGCTCCCTCCATTGCAACATTATCCAATCTTGCTGCATTAAAGAAGCATCTTTCTAAAGTTGAAGTCTGCATCCACTGTATGTGTGAATTGCGGATGCCGGATGTAAAAACATCACGTTTCTGACCCGGATCCACCTCTGAATGAGACTGGCAAGAGAGAAAGAGAGAAAGACACGATCGGTGATTAGGATTACGACAGAAAGAGAGTTGGGCAGAGGAGAGTTTGCAGATTGTTTCCTCTTTTATTCTGTCCTGTTGAGGTGTGTGTGTGTGTGTGTGTGTGTGTGTGAATGACGGTGTGTCCCTGAGGAAAGATTAAGAAAGCTGCTGCATCCAGAAAGCCTTCTCTACACACACACAAACAAACACACACACACACACACACACACACACACACACACACACACACACACACACACACACACACACACACAAACCCTCCCGCATCAGTGCGCTAATTAGTAACGGAAGCTGGATGTTCTGAACATCCAGAGCCCATCCAGAGTCTGAGCCAAACTCTACACACAAACACACACAGACACACACACACACACACACACACACACACATATATATATATATATATATATATATATATATATCTTTGTCTTAATCTTTGTCCTAAAACATTCTTTCAAAGGTTTTCCAACACATTCACATGTCTACACACTCAAAGAGCCACACACACACACACACACACACTGAAACAAACACACTGTAACAAACACACAGGGACCGGACCATCTTAATTGATCTTTGTCTTAATCTTTGTCCTAAAACATTCTTTCAAAGGTTTTCCAACACATTCACATGTCTACACACTCAAAGAGCCACACACACACACACACTGAAACAAACACACAGGTTGTAATCAGGGACCGGATCACTCCATAGACGAACTGGCCTAGTTTCAAACCCTACACACTGTACAGAACACACACTCAAAACACACTGCAGCAGCCTGTAAAATGAACAAACACATGCTCTTAATCTAAAGTAACGCAGGTATATCTTTGGATATTTCACAAACGTCTTTATCCAGATCCAGTTTTGTCTCTGAAGTAATTTTCTCAGAATTAGGGTTAACAAAAACTTATTTTGAACATAAAAAAGTGTTTAATTTGAGTGGAAATTTAGGCTTGTTCTTGATTAAATGTTTAATTCATTAGGACACACCCCAATATTCACATTAGTGGTACTTTTGCATTTGGTCCCACCCTAATTTTGAATATTCGGTGAAATACTTTGAATTTAATATTTGATAACACTTCATTTTACAGTGTCCTTGTTACAAGTTACATGTACAGTAGTAATGCTCTGGGTGTGTGTTCACAGTGTGTGTGTTCACTACTCACTGCTGTGTGTGTGCACTCGGATGGGTTAAATGCAGAGCACAAATTCCGAGTATGGGACACCATACTTGGCTACATGTCACGTCACTTTAAATTATGCACAACTGCAAGCAACTAACCCAAACCAAACCCTAACCTTAACCCTCAAGTAAGTACATGTTATTAATATTACTCAGTACTCAATTGTATAATTACACTGTAGCAAGGACACCTTAAATAAAGCTTAACTAAAAATCTAAAAGTCTCATACATATCTCAAAATAGACAAACATTGTCTGATTCCTCGTTTTGGCCAACATAAATGGGTCTATCACTATACTAAATTGTTGTATTGTTAAATATGTGCTGTAAAGCCAAATGAGTTGTCTTAACTGTCTGATCAAAGTTAAATAACATAATTGTGACGGTGACAGAATAAGAAATGAGCTGAGTGAGATGTTACTCTTTCAACTCTGTGATCTCAAATTACCCTCAAAGAAACACATGCGATCAAGCAAATACACACACAAACACATCACCTCTCTATGGCCCCTGCACTGCCCCCTTTACCCACTCCATCTTTTAGTCTGAATAGAAATATAGCATTTTCAGAGAGAACAGAGAGAGAGAGAGAGAGAGAGAGAGAGAGAGAGAGAGAGAGAGAGAGATGGGGTATTACTGGGCAGGAAAAGTACTAATCCTCTGCCTTGCTTCCTTCCAGCCAATGATACCCACAAGCAACTGGCAACAGCTGCTCAGAAAGATCCCAAATCACATACACAGTCTGAGTGTATTAACATGAATATGCAAAGTAAACCCATTTATAACTCAAAATTTTAAACAAAAACAGATTCCCCTAAACATGTGACACACTGTTTAGTCTATCACACAGTATAAACGGCTAATAACTGAAAACAAAAGTTTCTTACGGCCTGCTGTCCTTGTGTAACATTATAACAGTTTATAATGCTTGCACACTGTTAACTAAGCCAGCACTTGATCACTTTCAGTTACAAACTGATCTGTGTGCGGTATAAGCTTTGTTACACTGTCATTAATGCATTATTAATGCTTTCTAAACTATTTATAAGCATCCCAGGAGAGAAAGCAGCCATCATAGAGTACTCTATGTTCCTGAGAAGCCTAATATATAAGATGCTATGCCAAAGCTTAAATCTAACCAAAATCCAGAGGAGATTGATGGACAGACTGCTGTTTGTGTGACACATCAAGTACTGGTTTGTTGTGGATGTGTGTGTGGGATGCTATGTGTTGGACCAGGAATATTGCCAAGGCAGAGGTTCATTCCATGGGTGGTAAAGGAGAAGTGTACATGACTCTGTGTGTGTGTTTGTTAGACTTCTTACAGCACATAACTTCTGCCATCTGTTCATGACTGCCAGAAGTGGTATAGGGGAGCTGAGGGAAATCAGCAACACACACACTCAAACCCACATTGACTTGGCTAAGTGAGGACTTAGCATAGACTTCTATTGTTTTTATATAAAGCTAATTATAATTACTAGAGACTAACTCTAACCCTTAAAGAAAACCTTTTAGAACACCCCAAAGTTTGGGGTCTGTATGTTTTTTTTAATGTTTTTGAAAAAGTGATTTTATGCTAACTATGATCTGTATAGTTAAAATATATGCTCTGTATATTAGACATGAAAAAAAAAATATATATATAAGAAAGAGTCTGATGAGAATGGTCATGGAAAAACATTTCAGTACAAACCTGTGATGTCTGTCAGTAATGAAGCAAGTCCTGCTACACTCTGATGCACACACACACCAAGCTGTTTGTTTTACCACTTATGACTTTATGTAAGTATCTAAGTAATGCCCTTCAGGGGAAATGATAATTACATTGAAGACACCCATCCTACAAGTTGACAGGCCAGCAAGTGTGTACGTGCTTCACACGTTCACACGTGCCTCTGTCTTTATGTACAGGTGTGTGCAATACCGCGCAGGTATCTGGTATAAGGAAGTCTCTCCGTGTGTGTGAACAGGTGGTTGTAGACACCATTCGGAGAATGTGTTTCTTTTCTCATTAATAACGCATCTGCTGTCCTGCAGTGAGTTTCAAAGAGTATTAATGAGGTGAACAAACCCCAACTAATAACATCAGAACAAAAGAAAAACACTCACACGAATGTGCAAAGGGTCTAAAATTTTACATAATCGTAAGTAGTAAGTAATAAGAAGGAATTGCAATATAATGTCTGTTTAAAACATAGTGAACATTTAAGAAATGCCAGTTTTGCATAAACACACACACACACACAGACACACACACACACACACACACACACACACACACACACACACACACACACACACACACACACACACACGTTGTATTGCATATCAAGACTAAGGAATTAGGACATGATATTCTGCCTTATAAAATGGATAGTTCAACTTTTGATTATCAATTCTAATTGGATGAGCCATGTTATGCCTCATATTGTCATTATACATACAGTGCATATATGTATGTATACACACACATACATCATAACAGCCACTTTATATTCAGCTTCATGCTGTGCCTAAGAACACATTTTACTTATGTTAACTTCACTGTAATGTGCAGCTTCTTGTGGCTTATTGCTTTAATCTGTCTGTCTGAAATGATCAATTTAAACTTACTGTCACTGGATACACAGACCTAAAAAGATGAATAGAGGAATAGAAAGAAAGAGAGAGAAAAACAGGGGATTTGGTGGTTAGGATTAGAAGTGAAAAGGAGCTGGGTGGTGAAGTGTTTGCAGGTTCTTGTCTCATAACAATCCCTCTTTGTTTATGCTGTGGTTTTGCTGAAGACTTTCTGCATTCTCTCCTTTGGACCATGTGTGAACATTAACTGTAATTCTATCGCCATCTCCTATTTTTTACCTGCTATCAGTATGCGAAATCAGATCCACCAGCAATCAGATGATCTCTCCCAACACACACTCACAGAGCGGAGAAATGGGCCAAGAAAGCATCAAGCTCATTTGTATTTTCTAAGTGACTGTAACATGTTGAGTATAGCCATCTAGAATCCAAACACAACAAAGACTCAGGTGAACTCAGCCAAGAAACCTGTCTTTAACAAACAACTGATAATTATCAACACTGTGGGCTCTCATCCCTGCCCACATATGCAGAAAATTCAGACACCTATCTGTGTGGAGTGATAAGCTATTTTTCAGTCCACACACACACACACACACACACACACACACACACACGCGCGCGCTTAGCTGTCATGTAATCTGCTCTGCAGGCCCTCATCCGTCAACTGCAGGATAATAAATCAATGGCAAGGACAAAGTGTGTTTACATAATATCAACTACACAAGTGTTCATTGCAACAATACCCATTTTGTGCCACTGTACAAACTACAGGAGCTGCAACTCAAGTTCCTTAAAACACAGAATCACTGACAACCTATTCATTTTCAGCAAGTGAGCAACACACAATCCTCTGTTTTTTGAAAGTGTCAAAAAAATACATTTGAGAAGTGCTTGCATTGAGAAAAGGTGTGCATCACAGAGGTTAGTGAAGCCCAAATCAATTTAGAACTTTAAGTATTTGATGAGGGTTTACAGATTTCAAAAACAGGAGGTGCAAAGATTCAGATGAACTAAAATGAATCACTTAGTGTGTGAACAGAGTTCGACTGATTTATTTAAGAGAATTGACTGATTCATTTACAAATGAAAAAATGTACATGTAGGCAACAAAATATTTCAGAGCAAATCATAACTACAAAAATGTATATTCCCTATAGAACCCTATGACATACGTATATTCCCTATGACATTTCCAATAACTTTATTGTTCTGATTCAGACTAATGTGTGATTTTGACAGATTCAATGAACAGAATCTGTTTATTAGAACAAAATATTCGCAAATCAATCTTGGTATATCTACAGTGGGTATAGAAATGAATCACCCCCATTTAAAATAATTACATTTTGTAATCACAATAATCACAACACAGACCCTCCCTGGATCAGGATGTCACTCCAAACTGGATGAACGAGCCAGGAGGAAACTGGTCAGAGAGGCTACCAAAAGGCCTACAGCAACTCTGAAGCAGTTACAGGCAAATATTTAAAAGTCTAGATGTGTAAAGTAAGTAGAGACATATCCCAGCTGACTAAAGGCTGTAATTAAAGCAAAAGGTGGTTCAACAAAATACTGACACAAGGGGGTTATCCTTTTTCCAACTCAGTGATTCTGTTTTTTTTCCCTGACATGTTGGTGTTATATATTTCACTTTTGCACTGACTAAATACAGCTAGAAAAAACAAAAACTGTGTCCATCCTCATTTCTGAATTACAATACTATTTCACAATATTTCTGTTTTTACATTATTTTTCATCAACTAAATGCAGTCTTGGTGAGCAAAAGCCTTCCTTCAAAAACATTAAAAAAATACTTACCCTAAACCTTTGAATGGTTTATACACAAAATATATATTCAAAGTTTCCATGACTTCCAGGCGTGAAAAACGCATTGTAAAAACTCCCTGATATTTCCAGGGTTTCATGAGCGTGAGACACAGAAGGTGAGGTGTAATGTCTGACCTGTGGGCTCTGGGGACAGCAGGTGGGCACTGTACACCGGAGGGAAGATGAGGGCCGCGAGGTACAGAAGGAGACAGAGCGGGACCATCCCGGGCCGAGTGACACGGGGACGAGTGTCCTCACCACGGAGACCAGATTCAGACATCCTCCACCATTCCACACATGCTGTCAATGTAGTGCTGCCACACACACAAACACTGAAACACAAAAACATATTCAACAGCCATAAGAGGTTTAATAGAGAAGGAACACAGAACAAACACTTCATATAACAGCATGAAAAGTAAAAATGCTCACAGATATTCAAAAAAACTTAGGCCTGTTGCTTTGTTATTTTGACATGGGACAAATTGTTCAAAACACTATTGAAATGCTGTGCTGACGTGCAAATGTCTGCAGAAGTCTCTCTGCATATATTGTGAATTGAAAAATAAAGTGCGACGACCACACACAACTGTCACGAGCAAATGAAATGGAGTGATTTCACATTATATGTCCCGCGCTAGTTTAGACGAGACTGGGATTTGTTGTAAACTCTCTTTTGCCGTCTTATTCTCCCTTTTTTTCTTCTTCTCTCTGGTCGGTCTACTTTGAAACACATCTTTCACTAAGCTAACACAAACACACTTATCTCTCTAAAGAAAACATATGCTCCCCTCACACTCTGTGACTTGTGTGTGTGTGTGTGTGTGTGTGTCTGCGTCTTGCCACATAAGAGAGTTTACATTAGTCACAATAAAAGGAATGTAAAGAGCTTTACACACATATACTGTAGGCTGTACGGTTTGATTCCCCACTGAGAGGTTTTTGCTCAAAGACGGTGTGAATTTGAGAGTGTGTTGCTTTAAACTTGAACTCCTGTTATTTCAGAACAGCCCTGGTTTAGACACACAGAATGTTTACGTTAACTTTAAACAGTATTTTTACGGCATTCTTCTCGAAAAGACGCACACACTCTCCTGAGGCTAGTGTGGCGCTGTTTTACTTTCCCCTTGACGAGCAGACGCTCAATTCTTGGTCAGCACATACTGAAGAGAGAGAAAGAGAGAAGCCGGGTTAGTGTGTTGAGTAACTCAGTGTTTTCTCTGGCCAGCAGAGCAGAAGCATGCACTGTGCTGTGGGCTGATAGTGTATCAGCGCTGGCTGTTGTAGGAGAGAAGGGTATATTTGTGGAGTGTATTTCTGGAGTGTGTATAGTAGGTGTGTTTTTCGAGCATGTTTCTGGAGCCATACTATCTTATAGTAACAAAGCTTAAAAGCTGGGGAGAGGCCTTAAGCAGAAACAAACTGATACATTCTTGGAAGAGGGCTAATCTCATATTATTATGCATCTTTTTGGAGTACTTGACTCGGATTGGTTGATCACAGCATTGTGTGGTCTAAGACCACTAAACTGTATAATTGACCGTTTGACCAGGCAACGATTTATTTGAGTTCTGCTAGACTAACTGCAGTTTCTTTCTCCTGCATAACTCAAATCAAATTTCCACTCAAATCAAAATTCCATGTCTATTTATTTATTTATTTGGGGAGAAGCAGTGTAATAAATGGGATAATGTGCAGTAAGCCTTCATTATCGCAAAATAAACCACTTTGGAGTGATACAAGACTATCCTGATCACCCTGTTGCAGTTTATTTTGCAATAATGAATGGATGATTGTACAGTATATGTTACTTAAAATAACATTGTGTAGTTTGAACACTGAACTGTGCCTGCTTGTATCTTATCTATGCATTTATAGTGAGTCATTTTAACACATATCATTCAAAAGTTTGGGGTTTGAAAGATTAAAAAAAAATGTTTTTGAAAGCAGTCTCTTAGACTCACCCAGGCTGCATTTAGTTGATCAAAAATACAGTAAAAACATTAATAATGTAAAATATTTTCATTCACTTTACAATGTAATTTATTCCTGACATGGAAATGACATGACGTGGAATTTTCAGCCGCCATTACTCCAGTCTTCACCGTCACATGATCCCTTTAGAATCATTCTGATATGCTGATTTGTTATTCAGGAAACATTTCTTAATATGTTGAAAGCAGTTGTGCTGCTTAACATGTGTTTTCAGGATTCCTTGAATAGAAAGTTCAAAAGAACATAATTTGTTTAAAAATAAGATGTTTTTGTAAAAATTCATCCTAAATAAAATTTAAAATGTATTTAAAAAAATTGACCCCAAACTTTATTGCATATACTTTTGTGCAAATGAAACTTTAGGGTACAGGCAGCTGGGACTGTGTGACATGACTGATGTGCAGCAGTCTGTTGCCGTGTGGTGTGTAAAACTCTTAACTCTCTCAGAAGAGTCGGTGTTTATCTATGGGATTACTGAAGAATTTGATTTGGACTCTATTGAAATATTAAGATTATCAGTCTAGCCAATGATTCAACATTAGCTACTATGTTTTTACTGTCTGTATCTCCCTTTCTGTCTCTTAATTTTAAACCCCTCAGTCAACTGTGATATAGGACACATACTGAAGTATAATTCTCTTTTAATGGCAAGCAAAACAACTACAGACATGAACAAGGCAGTGCAAGAATATTCTGTCAAATCCTGGGCGTTTATGCGTGTAATGTCTAATAGTTTTGGGTGAAAGAGGGTTTTAATAGAATCCTATCACACGGTACCTTGCAACAAATCTGGGACTAAAAATGTCAGTAATCTCCAGTAATTGTGCAGCCATGTCAACTGCCAGCCAGCCTAAATCTGCCAATGAAAATAGGGATTAAGAGGGAGACAGAGTAAGAGAGAGATAAAGAAAGTGAGCGAGAGACAGCAGATGAAAAGCTAAAGTCTGAGGTGTCTCTATTAGAGTTTGGCTGTAATCCTCTTCCGAGGACTTCACTCGCCCTCCTGCGGCTCTCTGTGAGCTCTGTCAGCACGTGCGTGGGAGTGTGTGTGGCTACAGGCTTGTGCTTTGCTTCAGTGTAGACAACTGAATAAAGGTGAGAATTAAACTCATTAACCCACCCTTTTAAACATCCTCATGGAGAAACACATCAAACACACACAAATCAAAGAGGACCAATTTACAAACCACATTTACAGATGTTTGTCACTGTGAAATTATGGGTTTCTCCGAGCTTCTCAGTCAGTGACTTCTGTGCTTTCTAGCATTAAATCCATCATTTCATATGCTTACATAAAGCGTATGGCATGACACTGTCCACAAAAACATTAATAGAAAAAGAAAAACATAAGGGTAATTAAAAACAGAAGGATGAAAGAGCGAGACAGTGCAGTAACATTGTCCATTGTTTATTGTATGCCTCGTTTTCATTCATGCTGTTTTAGCCCTTGGACTGCATTGTGCATTGTGTGTAAAATTATCTTGTGCACATTTTTTGTTGAGGTTTTTAATATATATTAAATTAATCTCTTACCGGTAGCTAATGAGGTCTAAAAAAAGCATAAGGAACTTTAGAGAAAGAGAGAGAGAGTTTGATAACTTACATTCAGGACTTCAACTCTCAAACTTTCGACAGTCCACAGAGTGGCGTATTGATTTTGAGCCGGCACCAGTCCGCTATGGGTCACAATTAGTCGAGGTTCCAATTGAAAAGAACCTCTTTTTTTCCCCTGATGACATGACCTCTCACATTTGAATTGTGCATGCCTTGGAGAGACCTTTACTAGTTCCACCAGGGCTGGTTTGAAAAGTGCAAGGGACACATGACTAGAAAAGTAATGATTATCACCCCCCAAAAAAGGCATAGACATTTCTAAACGTGGGAGATTGTCATCATAGTTTCAAGGTTTTCATCCTTTTAACCAGTCGTTTCTACTCTGTTGAGTTTTCAGAGATTATTTGGCAGCACTTTATTTTATAGTCCTGTTCCTCGTGTACATACTATGTAATTATTATAGTAATTACAATAACTAGGTAATAACTAGGTACTAACCCTGAACCTACCCCTACCCCATGTAGTTACCAGAACTTTCTTAGGCACATAGTAAGTATAAGTAAGTACACAAAATGTAACATAAAGTGCAACCGATTATTTTCTCCATCAGTAAATTGTTAATTGAACTGAAAAAGCACAGTGAATGAGTAATGTTTATACCATTTAAAAAAATTGAAGGCAGCAAGAAAACTTTTCAATTTTAGTAGGTTAGAATGTTTTATACAGTGCATGAGTTCAGCAACCAAGTTTCAGGATATCTGACAAGCTGAACTGACAGCAAGAAACGTCTTGCTGTTAACCACTCAAAGAAAAAAAAAACTATATAGTCTAGATCTGCGAATCTGATCATAAAATAATGATATCATATAATGATATTGGCGGAAAAAAACCTAACAGTTTACATCCTAGTCAGTTCTCACCACGGACTCCAGTCGGGTTTGAATGACTCTAGTAGCCTACATGAGGTGGCTAATTGCCCCCAGTAGCCCGCGTTAACACCTCTAGAGACTAATTCACTCCGATAGCTACAATTGGTTTCAGATGGCCCGTGGGTACGGCGGAGGAAAAACTGGTGAGGTTCCCTTCAGTGTGAGCTAAAAACAACACAAATGAAGCCCTGCTGAGGTGGCCGCAGAAGAAATTGATGTAATTTTGGTTTTAAAATGCGTCATACATCAAGCTGTAAAGGGCTCTCTCATCAGAAAGACACGCCAACTCAGTCACAGTTAACGAGTTATTGAGATTACAACAGGTAAAAATATAAATATGGCTCTACGGTCTCTGAAGGGAATAGCTATAAACAGTATTGTGTTAAACTCATGCACCACGAAAAGCGCTCGAGCGCTCACCGGGAAGATCGGATGATATAAGCGCCCTTGACTATGTTTCCCATCACCTCACATCCCACGGTGGGTTTCGGCACCATTAAAACACCTACACCTACATGACAAAGACCAGCTGCTGACGTATTAAAGGCTAGTTTGTGAATGAGTAATGACTGTCCACACAACAGGCTAAATTATACACCGCAAACATTTTGAACTGAGCCATATTGTAGGCTACATTAATTCAGCACAGGTGCGGCTTCTCCTCGCGACTGGTGGAGCAGCTTTCGAGCACGCGGTAGCCTACTCATACTCACACACACACACACCGCGCGCAACACCTGTCCGACTGTAAGCGATACGGGCACACACCACATGTCACCACAGCTCACTTCTACACTAAAACTTTGTTTCCATTCTGAAGGCTCTGATTGAATCAATAGCCCAATTGAAAAACACGTTTTGGAACTTGAACAAGGAAACAATTAGAAACATGAGGAATAAGACTATTTCCTATCCCTCAAAGACGCCTTTACACAGCTGAATTACGCCTGGTCTTAGCAGCTCTGTCTGCTTCAAATTCTGTCAAAACTTAACGCCACATAAAAACTAGTAAAGTACTCGAGCCACTTCAGATTTTATAGAAGCCTATATTAGAGACGGCTCTGATGCTTCTTTGCGCCCAAGCATCTAAATGATGCAGCACGAGTGCAGCCTTAAACTCTGTTATTCTCATGATGGAGTATGCATTTTATAACTTTATTTATTTAGTTATCTATTTATTTATTTTAATATTTCTAAATTGATGCTTCTATTCATAGCAAATTCCACTAGGCTATATTACTTAGGCAATTGTAAAAGACAATAACCTATAATAATGTAATAATAAGAATTATAATAATAAACTCCTCACCAAATTCCTCCTTGACACAGTAATCCTTTTCGAGATAAAAAATAAAATATGTTTGTCGGCTTTTTGAGTAAGCTTGGTCTGCGAGGTCCTTTCCAGATGTTTCGTGAATCGCATTCAGGGGACAAATCATCCAAATACACTCAAGTTTCCAAATCCAGGCGTGAACAGACGTGAAGTCAGTGAAGTGTTTGAGAAGAAGCCGTATTCACACACAGCCTTGAGCTGTCCGACTCTGTCCAGTCCTTAAAACCGCCGAAAAGTGTATCAAAACCCCACTAGACTATATCATCTAAAGGAGCACCTATGTAGTTTTGGCTCGTAAGAGGGTCTCGGGGCCCTACGGAAGAAGCTCCGCTCTTCTCCGCTGCGCTGTACGGGCACAACTGCTTCGCTGCGCCGCTGGGTCGGTTGTGAAGTGCGGGACGTTTGGTGCTGTGTGAAAGCTTGGCTCACAGACTCCCACTAACAGTTTGAGCACCGGGCTCTGGAGGGAAAACATTAACTAGGATCGGATTTCAAACCACGTCCCTGCTGCGAGTGCAGTGCTCGCCGCCTGCCGCCCCCCTCGCGAGTTCAG